CTCTTCACCACGACGGACCGGTACAGCGCCCGCTTTACAGCAGACGCTGCGCCAATCCGCCTGTCCTCCTCTCAAGTGGAGGAGTTTAAGTTAATTTTATAGTTTTGTGATATTAATAATGCTAATGTATTGATATTTTTCTAATTTTGATTTAAGTTTGCTTGTTTAGCGTCGTCACAGTTGCTAGGTGACATGACGTACGCCGGGGTAAGGAGGGGAGGCTAGACCGTCCAAATTCACAGCCTCTTTTTTTCCGGTCTTCCCGGTCTACCAAGGACCCGGCCTGTCGTTTTGGACACAGCCAATGTTTACTCACAATGCTATTGCTACTCTTATTCTCTGGTGCTCAAGAGGTAGAGGATCCAATGGCTGGCTCACTGCTGCCAACTAGTGGTCAGAGGCTGAACTACAACATAAAAATGAACGTCTGGCAGGAAAGTTGACATTTTAAACCTTAATTAAATATCGATACAGGACTTCAGAAAATCGATACAGTATCGGAAAATGAAATATTGCGATATTTCAGTGTATCGATATTTTCTTACACCCCTAATATTTAGGTAACAAACACAAAAACGATACAATAAATATCATTTTGTGAGGACTGGTTTAATTCGACTTTGTGTTGTTTCTTCTAACCCCAGGCCAGCACGGATGCTGGGAGTGGCGCGGTGCTCACCCCCCACCACGTCCGTGCCCACTCCTCCCCAGCCTCGCTGCAGCTGGGGGCTGTGTCCGGGGGCTCCCTGTCAGGGATGGCCTCAGCCGGCGTCTCTCCTCAACACCTCCGCCAGTCTTCGTACGAGATCCCCGACGACGTGCCCCTGCCCGCAGGGTGGGAGATGGCCAAGACTTCCTCTGGCCAGAGATACTTTCTCAAGTAAGCATGCCTGCAGAAGGTGTCTGCTTTTATAGTCCTTTAAAAGATGTATTTAAAGGTACTCATTGCAAGTGATGAACTCTGACATGAAAATAGGTTTATCCTGATCTTCATCAAATGGAGCCTTACTCTGGTAGTTTTTCAAATATAATGATAAATAACTGTGAAATACACTTGATGCACATGTGACAGAATCTATCAAAAACACTTGGAAGCTTTTGTCTCATATTTTTACCAACACTAGGTTGGCTGTAGTCTCTGTAAGTAAACAAATACGGAGGAATCGGGCAAGCGTAGAGTCTCAGCAAAGATGTTTATGTGGAAATATAAGAGTGAGTCTGCTGCTAAATGTGGTGGGAAAAAAATCATTTCAGGAAGACGACTACTAACCCCTAATTTACTCTAGAGCAGTGGTTCCCAAACTTTTTATCTTCTGACTCACAAAGTATCCATGGCAAAAACTTGTGACCCAAATATTACTGGTCTGAGTACACGAACTTCGTTAATAACCATAAAAACACAGGCTTTTTGACAACCTAAACAGCTTATACACAAATATAAATACTTATTTTGTGTTTTTGTAATAATTATAGGGAAATATTACATCAGCATTTATTTTATTACCCTTTAAATTGATTTCTGGAGATTATCCAAGGTGCTTCATGACCCATGATTGGGTCCCAAGACCAACTTTGGGAACCAAAGTGCAGTGGTTCCCAAACTTTTCAGCTTTTGACCCACAAAATAACAGTAACAGAGACCTGTGCCCCCAGCTATTTTTGGATGATAAACATTTGTATCAGGTCAACAAAACAAGGGCATAGTAACAATATTTTTTATACTACATTTATCCATTTTAAATACTAACCTCACTCCTTTGTACAAACTAAGGCAAAAATGTAATTAATTCTGAAAATCTTTTCATGACCCCACCTTGATGTTTCGGGACCCCACTTTGGGTCCCGACCCCAACTTTGGGAAACACTGCTGTAGAGGAGGTTCCGCTCCGGTCCGACCTTCGCTAGCCTGGTAAAAACCAGACCCTTGTCCTTCACTTTGCTTCGTACGAGGGTCTGGACTCTCTACTATAGAGAAGCGATTCTTGCAGGAGGCGTGGCCTCTGCTGAAGTTTAAAATGATTGGATCGTTTGGCCGCTACTTATGTCGCTGTGAAGGAGGCTAAGCTAAGAAGCTAACCGGAAATCGCGTGAGCTGTGAACAACTCTACTGAGAGGAGAAATATACCTAGCCGAACGAGACGACTGTAAATGAGAGCTGCTGCTTTGTCAGACAAATTTAATTTAATTTGGAAGCCTTATCAACACAGACTGGCTTCATTCACTTCCTCCACTGCTGTATGCTAAACTAACTAGCAGACACTGCGCAGAAAATCAACGTCGTTCAAAACTTCGCCTTCGGTTCTCTGATTGGAAAAGGTAAAATAAACTACAAGCAGACACTGCGCAGAAAATCGACTTTCTGTTCTCTGATTGGCCCGGACGAAAATTCTCCCGAAGAAATCCTTGTCTATGGGAGAAATCCCAGACGGAGCAGAGAAGGGAAACTAGAACTGAGCGGAACTGCGTAGGAAGACAAGGACCAGGCTAGACCTTTGCAGAAAATACACAACTATTATAATCAATGAGAGTATTTACACTGGCTCCACATGGCGGCGGTGTGCAGATGGCGATCTGCCAAAATTAGATTTGATCCAATTTCTGATGGACGCCGGAGTCGGTCTACAAAGGTCGTGTCGCACCAACGGGAAAAAGAACCAGCACAACATCCGTATTTTCAAAATAATTCACCGAAGTCAGACTAATTTTGTTTAAATTCCAGATATATTAATAAATCTATGGATATATTTCTACACAAATGCTGTCAGAATGTATCGTTCTGTTTGGGAAGCAGATGGCAACATGTAGCGTGCAGCATGTGTAAACATGGATTTTATTTTGAAATCAGAAGTTAAAAAAAAAACAAAAGCGATGCAGTTTCAGCTGTGTTTGGAGTCTATCTTCCAATTGATTAATTGGATTAAACAATTAATTATTTTTGCTCTGACTTCCACATTCATGGATTTATCGCGCAATCTCACATTTTCTTACATACGTACACTGCTTTGACCTCCTCTGTGCTTCCCACCGGAGCGGACCGGACCGGAGCAGACTCTGTGCAAACAGACAGCAGCGCACTGCGCAGCGGAACCACATCTAGTGTAAATTAGGGGTGAGAATAGATATTAAGGATTAAACAGGGTGATTTTAACACAGAGCTCGACATTCAAACACGCAGTATTTGTGAAGCTTCTGTTAGACCAGTAAGTACTGATTCAGGTTCAACCTTTCTTTAATCTGCGCACTTTACTCAGTAAACCTGAGCATAAATCTGCACTGATATGTTCATTTGTGTCTGTCAAACGCCTCTTTTATCTATTTTAACCAACTTTTAGTCACATCAGCTGCTGGGAGTTGTCCAATCTTTACTTTTTCTTTTGTTGTGTTACTTTAAAGATACACTATCCATCAATGTGGGAAATCTGCTTCATGTTTATATTTATATTACAATGAGTAGCTTTAAAATAGTTATTCTGTCTGTTTATGCGTCTTTATTTAACTGTAACAAGACCAGACTAAAAAGACTCCAGTTGAAAATCCATCGTCACACTGACCAGTTTTAACTCTCTGTAGTGGTCATGATGGGTCCAAGTTAGCCGAGCGGCCCGTCGTCTCACACTGAAGCTCTGTTCCGTCTGCACAACGCTGACAATAACTTTCCAATCAGCTCCACTCCACAATAGCGGGCAGTGTGCTCAGAAGGAGACAATTGCAGAAGTTAGATTGTAGGTTATTAAATCTGGTGGCGTCTGCAAACAAGAGAGGTCTTGAGGGACCTCTGCTGTATGTGGTGTTCCTTTTCTGCGGCTCAGGTTTCAGTAGAAACAATTGACCAGTGTAGCTGCCCCAGACAGAAAGGCCAGGCAGTTCTGCTGAACTCATCTGCTAACCGGCAGATCTTCTCCACGCTGACCAGCCAAAGGAAATCAGGCCTCGAGACTAACGGGTTGCACTGGTTGCACCAGTGCTCCTAACTTTATTTTTATCTTGGGTGCACCCACATTTTCAACTGTCACATTTAACTCGGCAGTTTTAAAGGTTGACTTTTTAGAAAAAAAATCACCATCCATTAAGTCAATATTAACTCTCAAACAATTTGTTAATAATCTAGTAAATGAAGTTCTTTATTTGGATCGGAACTGTACAAGACTTATTGACAGAGTATTTGAAGGGATTATATGACCTGGAATTTTAACGGCAACATCTCAAGGTAGATTAAATGAAAGAAATAAGTGCAAATGTTTCAGGGCTGAACATCTTCTAAATATTTCAGAACTGAACATTTCATGGTTAAATGTTTTTTAGATGTCATCTTCTGCAGTTTGGCCTTCTGGATCTTTGGCCTTGGCTAAACTGGCTTTCCACATAGCATCAAAATCCAACACAGTACAAAATAACTGAAAACTACATTTTAAATTTGTTAGACTGGCTGATTTCTTTTTATATTGACTTATAGATAATAGATGGTTTCAGCTCATGTAATCATTTAATACTATTTATTCTTTATATTTGAACATTTAAGTAAGTAAGTAAGTTAAGTAAGTAAGGTAAGTAAGGTAAGTAAGTAAGGTAAGTAAGTTAAGTAAGGTAAGTAAGTAAGGTAAGTAAGTTAAGTAAGG